TCCCCAGCATGTTGCCGAGCAGAGGGCGGCGGGTCAGGAGGGCGAAAGCCAGCTCGGTGCTGGTGGTGTGTGGGGGCCAGGGCCACCGGCGGGTGAGCAGGAAGGCCCGGCCGCAGCGCCCCGAGGAGCTGGCCGCCTCCATCATGGTCTGGCAGATCCCCCTGCTGAACGCGTGAGTCCGCGGCCCATCTGGGTGGCCGCGTCCTTGCGGCCAAGCCGGGCGACCCGAGGGCTGTAGCCGTGTCTACACTGGTTGAGGGTAAATCACGTCTTGGGGGAAGAAATGTGCAATACCGTCGCGGTGGTGTTTTCCGGAGCGGAAGCCAGCACAGACGCCCGTGAGGGGACAGAGGACCAGGCCGGGTTGCAGCCGTGTTGGCGTCCGGTGGTGACCGCGTGCTTCACGAGTGCGGCAGACCACGTGGAAACACAGACGCTCCGCACCCACTCGCGGGCCCTGCCTCTTAGAGAGTTCGCGGACTCAGAACTTAGGGGGAAATACAGCTTATTCCGTCGTAGAGAAACTTATTAACAATTCCTAGAGTAACCTTACTCGATTCAGAGTCTCTCCTCTTATTTATATTGTATATCTTTAAATTCCAGCACAGAGTCCGTAACGCTGAAGAGAGCCAGCTAACGTCCCCCCCGTCCAGGTGGTGGTATTTGCTTTCTGAAGTGAAGTGGGTTTTCCAAAGCGGCATAATGTGCGTGTTGTGTATTTTAACAAAGTAGTATTTTTGTACTGCCTTTTTTTCTATTAAAGATTAACAGTTAATGTTTTAGTCAATATATCGTCTGTAACGTTTCACAAATAACGTTCGGCTTTGAACCAAAATGCTCAATACCTTATCAACATTTAGACTCGAGCGTCCACACCAGAAGATCCTTCCGTCTTCCTCGCAAGGAGTATCAATATCCACATTAGAAATGCACGTTTCCCTCTCGTAGGAGATGCACACTGAGCGTGTCCTCAGCTCTTTCAGGGTGTTTCCCGCACCTGCTGACCTGGACCTCGGTGCCTGCTTCGAATATGCCTTCTGAGGTTACTCATGGTGCTAGAGAGTGTGGGTGTGTCCCTGCTGGGGTGGGACACAGGCCGGGGACACTGCCTCAGTGTGCCTCCTGCAAGCACGCAGGCTTGCATTCTGTGGTCACAAAGCCCCCGCGTGGTCGAGGCGTGCGGGCGAGCAGTGGGCCCCGTCCCGTGCAGCGTGGGTTTACGTCTCCGTGTCGTACTCACTGAGCGGTTTGAGAACATTAATGCGGGCATCACCAGAGATAAACTTCTCAGCACTTTACAGATGACTAAAAAATGCTAATTTTATGCCTTAGCCAAATATTTCCCAAGGTGCACATATACCCCCACGCGAAAGTAATCTCTCCCCAAGCTTTCTTAAACTGTTAGCTGCTACCTGAAGTCATAAATAAAGTCTTTTTATTTAAAAATACAGTATTCGAATTGCCTTTTTTCCCCATAAAACACAAAGGGGCAGTTGGGGGGTTCTGAGGGGCCCTTTCAAGTTCAGGATGGCCACCTGCCGGCCTGGAAGTTTAGTACGAGTTCCAGAGACAGTCCCAGCATGAGAGGAAAACAGTGCTGTGACTTGAGGTGGGTGCTGAGCTGAGACACTTGCAAGAGACTCACGTACTAGCCGTTTTACATTTTGGGTGACGTCGCAGGTTGAATGAATTTCGTGTAAAACAAAGGCCGCGTCTGCAGCCCACCGAGCTCCGTAACGTCTGTGCGGCAGAAGCCGTGAAGGTTCTCGGTCTTTTCACGGGCCGGGGGAACGGAAGGACTCTGACCTGATACTGTCTCAGAAAACTCCAAACCAGTAGGTTTTCTTCTGGCGTAAATAAGGAGAGAACGAGACCGTACAGGTGGAGGTTTGCATTTAGGTTGTAACATCGATGACGTCATTAGAAACAACCCCGTGTGACGCCACATAGGGTGCTCCCGTGGTAGCGGTCCCGCTCTGTGAGGGGCTCTGGGCGCTAAGCGGCCTTTCTCTGGGGCCATAGTTGTCTCCCGATTCACCTGAGGCTCCCTGAGCTCTTCCTGGGCTCCAAGAGGTAGGGCCCCGCTGGTGCTTGGGGCCCGGTTCGCAAGGAGCCTGGCACGGCCCTGGCTCCTCCAACTGGGGCTCCCCACCCTGCCTCCCTGCCCCGGGGCGAGGCCCGGTTCCCTCGGGCCCCTCACACCCCCTGGCCCGGCGGCCTCAGCGGCTCCGCGTGTGGTTGGCGCCTGGCCCCCAGCAGCATCCTGGGACCGCCAGGGTCAGACCCAGGTTTGGGCCAGTGCCGTGGATGGGTGCCCCCAAACTCTTAGGTT